AGGATTATGTTCATGTTGCCATAAGTTTGTGAAGACATCTTTCAAAGACTGATAAGGACAAGAACACAGGTCTTTTTCATGAAGAATATAATCTACCAAAATTGGAGAAAATCCTTCACACAGAGCAAAACTAATCAGTCACTCTTTTCCATGCTGCTAAAACACTCATCCTGCCAATATTTAAATATGATTCATTTTATGCCCTGTGGAAAGGCTGTGAATATATCCACTGAACTTGAGCATGTAGTTACATCTTTGCAGGGGTGTTGCCTGCACACAGGCTCCCAGCACAATGCTCAGTTCCTCCTATTTGCTCTGGAAATTCAGAACTTCAGCTGCTGCTGTATATTCCCATACTTCTCCCATGCTCCCTTCTCTCCTCAGGCACATGAATAATATTTAAAATGAGTAAAACCTACACAAATGAATAGAAACGATATCAGACCATGGCCCTCTCTCACAATTTTTTAATTCTGTGATTTCTGGTATATAGGCAAAGCAGGTTCAGTTATGTCTCCTCTGGACAAACACAGGGACACAGAGGAAAGCTCTGTGTGTTGGTGGGGATGCTCCCTGGAAGAGCCAGGGGGCACAAAGCACTCTGAGGTTATGCTAGCACTGCCATCAGGCAAACCCAGCATTCACATTTTCCAGCAGTGATTCAATGTTTGTGGCTCTGTTCGTGTGTTCAAACACTGTACAAACATGAAGGCAATATCCTGTCTAGGGAGTCAGCCAGCAAGGTAACCCGAGCCAAGGCCACGTGCAGAGAAGTGAGAGAGCAGCAGGAGAGCACCTGTCCCTGCTCCCAAAGCCACAAGGGTCACTCCTCACACTGGCAGGAACATCTCCTGTGCTCACAGAACACAGCTCCTGGAAAGGCAGGAATGAAAGGACATGGGAAAGGGAGGGCTAGGAGAGGATGGGAAGGATGGCACAAAATTTTTCATCGGTTAAAACTTCATGAACCATTTTCTATCCAGAAATCAATTATTAAAATATCCAACAGCAACTTCGGATGACAGGGAAGTGGCAGCTAGATATCAAGCATGTTTGTATTCAATTCTTTGGGGTATAAATGAGATACAGGGACACATTGGGAGAACTAATGTGAAAAAAGGTGAATGACTTTAATATCTTTTGTGAATTTTGATTATTTTAAATTTTTAAAAATAACTATGAACAAAAGAAGACAGATCCATGTAAAGTATAAATCCTTCTCAAGGCCTATCCATGTAATTGCTCAGTACAAATAAGGAATACCAAGGAAATAATGGCTCATAACTCCACCTCATAGTTTGCCTTACCCAGCTGAATGGGATTCAGCTTTGGCTCACACAGTTAATTTACTATAATCTTTTCATGCTCCTAAATATTTACTGATGTTTATCAACACAGAACTTCACATGTTTGTACACATTAAATAGTTTGTAACAGTTCTGTTCATTAACAGTGGAAACCTAAGACCTGAACATGAATTTTGTATACATGGAAGATATGAGGGAGAAGGCAAAAAAAGGTATTACAAGAATGATCTAGGTAGAAACAAAACTATATCTCAAAGAAAAGATCTTTTGCAAGGAAAAGCAACACTCAATTTGCAAAGCATTATTATGGTTATTATGACCATTATTCACACATCGGGCTGCTAATGGGAAGCAAGTCAGTGTATCTGAAATAATGTAAGTGCTTTCCAACCACATCTGCAAACCAATCTAAAAGGGAACTTGCCCAAACTTACACACAAATACAACAAATATGACAGCACTCATACAAGCTAATTTTGGCAAGGAGAGGTAGCAAACACTGCCTGTGAATATGGGAACCAGCTTAGCACTGATAAGCTTAACAACTGAAACTTTTTTTATCAATCTTGGCACAGATATGAATACTTCAAATTAAAATGTTTGGCAGGGTCACTGTCCCATTCCCAGGGTCCCCCATCAGTTTCACAGGCTGTGGTGAGGAGATGACTGTGATAACAGTGCCTTGGAAGGCAGTGGAGCTGTGGATCGCTTGTTTCAAGCAAAAGGAATCAGTGACAGCTGTCTATGGAGAAGTCTGTTCTGGTTTAATTGATATCATGGCTAAAAGAAGAACAGAAAATGTACAGAACCTGGTTTTCTGTGATTTCTATTCTGCATCCTCAGTTCCCCCCATCTTGCAATTCCTTCAAATTCCTTCAATTCCTTCTTCATTAAAGACTCATACTGAAATATTTCCTGGTACCTCCTAAGTGCTGCATCCTATTTTTCCATACTCTTCAGTATCCCCATCCTGCTGCACAGCTCCAGCCCATCACTGCTAAGTCTGCCAATGCTGTGCAAGAGGCAGCTGCCCACTGTCAAATTGAGGGATTAATTAATACCAATCAATGGATTCAAATGTACTGAGGGATAAATGTACATCTGACCTGTTTTCCTTGTTGCTTTAGGAAAACAGGCTAATGAATTGCCTTTCTCTCTAAATTAAATTTTTTCCATCCCCAAAACAGAACAGATGCAGTTGTTACTACTCAATTGCATCAGGAAGTGTCTCCTTGACAGCAGCAACATGAGAGTACTACAGAGCTGTTGCATAACACTGAATTTTAACTCATGTGAACGGAATGAGCCATAGATATTGTATCACACAAGAGGAAACAAGCACTGAGCACGAGTATTGGAGAGTTAACAAAATAACCTTGAAAAATCAGAAGAATCAATGTCATCCAGTAGGCAATTCTTTCAAAAAAAAGTTCCACTGCAGACATCAATGAATACAGTTCTCACACCATAACCACTGATGTACAATCCCTCTGGGTGATATAATTGTCACACATTCTTCTTTTCATGCATGGAGTGCTTCAGAGACTTTTAAAGGACACTGGGAGTTTGTCTGGGAGACAGCAGCAACACACAGACTCAAAGGCACAGGACAGCTTCTACATTTTGTCTGCACATAAGATAACTTTTGAGGTTTAATCAAGACACATAATCCCCACAATATCAAATTTCGTTGAAAATTTTCACTTTTATTAACTTGAGAATGAAAACCTCTGCCCCTTGAAGGTGTTGGACAGCAAAGTAAATACAGGAAAGCCATGAAGAAGGCAGTAAGCTAGCTGACACAAAACCAGGGATTTACTTCACTCCAGGGAAAAGTCATGTTTCCTGGGCTTCCCTGAACCTGCTAACCTTGTCAGTCATAATTAGATGACAATGCAAATGTTCTGGGAATTCTGCAGAGGCATTCTCCAAAAAGAAATCTTACCCAATTCTGAACATTTTGAAATGTAACTTCCCATCCAACTTGGCTTTCACAAATTTAAGACAACCCACAAAAGACAAACGTAACATTATTAATACAGCTCCAAACAGACCATTTGTCATCCTGGTCAGCCACTCTGGTACCTTTGAAAAGAATTCCAACCATCTGCTCAGACAAGATGAATTCTCCTTTTCCATTAACATTTCACAAGAACCAAACCAATGCAGTGATTCCAGCTAATGCCAGACACAGCATGCATAGAGACAGAAAAACAAAGGACTTATCAAGTCTCACACATAAGGGGCAAGAGGCTTTTAGATGAGCAGGGATTTTTAAGACTGGAGTATCCCACACCAAGGAAGAGCTTCTCAATCCTAGTTTTTGAGCTGCGAAAGTTTCACTTCCACTTTTCCTGAACTGAAACTAAATATAACAATTGCAGACTCAGTTTAGAAAAACCCCACCCTAACAAACAGTACCTAAAGAGTTTCTCAAAGCGCACCTGAACTGAGCCTCTCTTGGGTTTTTTTCCCCTAAGACACTAAAAAGACTTCTGAAAAAGCTGATCCCTTGATGACAAGAAATTTTGCACTTTAGTGGGAATATTACATGAGATGAATAAAGATCAAAGTAACTTTTGGTTACTTTGTTGCTTTGTTAAAGAAAAAGGGGCAAAAATATCTGTATTTACAGATCCTCAACTGGAATGACAGAAATTTCCAACCCTTTACATACCATAATGGTATTTCATACTTGCATGACTGGTATGCCAAGTTTCCATTTGCTACAGTAGTGCCAAAAATTATAGCACTACCCCAGCCCTCCTTCCATATGGAAGCGAAGAGTACAACCCATCATTACTGCACGAACCACAGAAAATGTCCGAAAATGCCCAAAAGTTCAGGTGTGAGTTAGGGGAGAGCACCGATAGCTCGGGAAGGCAGTGCGGGAGGCACGGAGACAGGTGGGAGCTCTGAGCGGCCACGGACCGAGCGCAC